TTATGTCCCTCAATTATGTCTCAATAGTATTGCTTTTTTTTTTTCATTAATGCTATTGGGACATATTTGAAAGACATAATTATGAAGACATAATGAGTTGTCACTAATGAAATGATAAAAAAATGCATTTAATAATGGATCTCATTGTAGCATTAATGAATTCATTATTATATCATTAGTGACAACTTATTATGTCTTTAATTTATATCCATAAATTATGTCCCAATAACATTGCTCTTTTTTTAGTTCAACGATTAAGAGTGTCTACATCAATTCATGCACATTGACTAATTTTCTCCTCAATCAAGTCAAAAGTAGATCATTTATGTTAGGATTAAAGTATTCGTAATGGATAAATTGTCTATGACTTAACTCCAAAGAATAACGAAAATTCAAACTCAAAAAAGGTAATTACCTCCTTAAACGAACTGATAGTTATTTGTGTGATATCTACTTTTTATTTATCTGTATATTATTAATTAATGATATCACGTAACAATACTGACATAAAATTATCGTTGTAATATATGAAAAAATTCCTGTCAGAGCCCATGCCTCGACTCAACCCTTATGCTCGTTTGGTATGATGGAAAAATAGAAGAATAAAAAATTTAAAGGATAGAAAATTGGAGGAATAAATAAAATATCATATTTATTAAGGAGGGAATATACGAAGGATAGAAAAGTGATGAATTTGCAGGTGAGACCGGGTGGTGGTGGATTTCGATAGGGTTGTATGTATTAAAATAAATTGGTTTTAAAAATGCAAAAGAATGAAAGAGTTTTTGGTAACTAAAGATTAAGAATAAAATTGAAATACAATAGAATTTAAGACTTAATTGAAATAAAATATTAAAAATAGAACTTGATTAATATAAAATAAAAATGAGAGCACTTAATAAATTTTTATGAAGAAAAATAATCCTTATTGATAATTTTCTTAAAAAAGTATTGATAATGTTCATATGGACATGCCATGGATTCTGAAATTCTAACAGCAATAGGTAGGGATTTGTGTCCCGGCTATTGAGACGTCTCAATAGCATTATTGATACACACAAAAGTGAAATTCACAAGTATGGCTCAAAAAACATGTATCGTAAGAGGATATAATTTGAGGACTCCTTTATGTATCTTATCGACATTTATTATATCTATAATTATTTTTATAATTATTGTGAGTCTTTTTATCATTATTATAATATAAAAAATTATAATTACCACAATAATAGTAATAAAAATATTCATAAAAATACTCACAAAAATAGTAAATCGTCAACAAAAATGATAATTTCTTTTGTACCGAAGAAAAGTGATAAAAATTATAAAATTTAGAAATACGATACGCAATATTTATTTTTTGATATCATAGTCAAGTACATAATTTGAACTCAAAAAGTACAGTTTATTTATCTGTCTATCTACATGTATCAAGTATACTCTTTTCAAGTATTGTTCTTAACCACTCAATCTTATGTAGATCCTCAATTTCACCGATGAGGTGTGTTCATCCCTACCAATGGAAAAATTGCTTGGAGATCAATACCTCTGCCAATTTAATGGCTTCCGGTTATTGTCTCAGTTCATGCCAGGTACCTTAGGAGTTGTCAACCACTTCCAACTGATGTAATACTATTTTCTTCTCCTGTAACTGGAACAACATGGCTCAAATATCTCGCCTATTCCATAATCAATCGAACCTCCAATGAGTCCTTGATCATGAACCATCCCATGAACTTGTTCCAACACTAGAGGGAAACCAAAGATTCACTTATATATATATATCAATCGAACCTCCAATGAGTCCTTGATCATGAACCATCCCCATGAACTTGTTCCAACACTAGAGGGAAACCAAAGATTCACTTATATATATATATATATATATATATATATATATATATATTAAGTTTCACAAGAATATAAAGTAAGTGGTCAAAATGAATGGGAGGGGAGTGTCTCACTCCATATCTGTGGCATGAAATGAATGCAACCAGGAGTAGTCTAATAGGCAGTGGATTTGACTGGAAGCCATGTTCTAAATGGGGAATAATTTGAGCCGCAAGCGACTTGGTTTAGGGTATTAACATAAGAGGAATGTTACTAGACCTAAAAAATTAACATAATTTATGGATGGAAAATGTTGTTTATAATTAATTTAGTGACTTTATTTGGTGATATGATGGATTATAGTCATTGAATTAATAATGAGTCTAAATTAATAGTGAGATCCACTATCGATTTAATGACAAAGAATGATAATGTCACTAAATAAAATCACTAAATAAGATTCATGTAGTATTATTCTTTATTGATTTAATGATGTGGCAAGTAATAGAGTTCCAACGGAGAAGTAGTCACAACAATTTTTTTCAATCACATCATAGCCACAATATATGTGTGTTTTGGGAGGGGGAAAATGAAGTGGATCTTCCCTTACTATTATGTGCTTGGAGCTTGCGACACTTACCTAGAGGGGGATGAATATATTTTTCAATTTTAGCTCAATTAATCATCAATAATAATCTAATCTATTACAATTACCTTTTCTCACACAAATTTTAAAATGAATAATGAGAACCTCTTTTAATCACCACAAACCCCTTAATTACTTTGCTCAAACAATCAATCTCACTACGATCCCAAAAACCAAACTCAAACCAATTACAATTGATGGCGTATTATGCGCGTTTGGATAGAGGTTAATGGATTAGGGATTTGTTGATGGGGTTCATTGGAATGATAGCTGTGAGCATAAATTAATAGACGGGAGATTTACAGTGGTTCACCAGTTCAAAAGTTTAGTTAGTCTACTCTAATGAAGTCTTTTACTCCTGCGGAAATTTTCTATTAATTGAGGAAGAAGGCTACAGAATTACAGGGAGTCAATGTTTTTATGCTTGATTGATTACAATGTGAGGGCTTTGATCCCCATTTATAGTGTGTTGTAGCTTGGCGTAATCATCGTGATCCTTGCGTACCCGCCACAATCTTGCGTAATCAACGTGATTCTCTTGGGGTTGTTAGGACCCATGTGATAAAATATTTGACCCTTAGAGGCTACATTTTTCATAGGTGTGACGTGACCCTCTAGAAGGTGTGAGCTATGATTGTTGTAGTGCACACATGGTTCACGTTGGTGGCGATTCCAAACCAATGCCTCTCGAACTAGGAATCTCAAGCTGGAAGGTCTGGGATATGAGATCCGACCTAAGACATCTTATCTGTGACATCTGAGCTGAGGTGTCTGAACTGAGGTGTCTAAGTTGGAATGATCACCTGGGAAGCTAGGGATTGAGAGGTCAACTCATTCACTCGACCTTAGTTGTCTCGACTGGAACCAGATTCCCGACTTAGGCATTATATCATGGGCCCTTATTGAGGGTAAGCCCCCAATCTACTACTGGACCGAGCTTAGCATTAGCTAATTTTTGATATCATCAACAATTATGGTTGATTCTTATGTCAAGCATTCAAATCATCAAATACATAGTGCACGTGTGTGCTAACAAATACAAGTGTATATGTAAATAAACGAAATGAAACCAAGCAATTTTTTATGTGAAAAATTCTGCTCACAAAATTCAATCTATAAATACTTAAGTCTTATACTTCAATCAATATCATGGTTAAATGCTCATTTACTTCATAAATTTCTCAATCAAAAGTTCCTTTTTGATGTCTTGCGTAATTTCACTTGGACTCCCCACAACACGGTTCGTCTAGGCCACGAGCAATCATGGACATGCTAATAATTTTCGGTATGCAAATATCAATAACTTTGTCAAACCATCAAAATCTTTAACTCCAAGTTCTGAGGTTAGGTAGAATATCTAGTGGTAGCCTTTGATCTTAATGGTCTAGGATTTTGGAGGAAGCTCTCTAGGTAAAAGATGAATTTTCTATCTCAAAAGATTTGTTAGAGGCTTGCCTTAATTGAAGAAAAGACCCTCAGTATTTATAAGTTTGGAATAAGGGTAATATTGGTTAAAAAGAACAATCGCTTGATCGGTAGGAGGAGGTTGTCACTGAAATAAAAATCATGTTTCAAATCAAACTGAGAAGTACAGATCGCTCGAGCGACTATGAGACCACTCGAGTAATGGTCAAGGCCACTCGAACGAGCCATGTACTCCATCCCGCAATCTCTTCCCCTTTTATTCCCTCAGTCATAAAAATGTTGCTCTAACGAAAGCTAGCGAGTATAGGGATGTCCCTATTAATTTTTTAATCATACAACCAAGCAAAAATAAATTGTCATCTTAAACACTAAAGGACTCGAGGAAATCGCAAATAGCTTAATCTATGTTTTCAAAATACAAAGCGGTTTAAAAAGTTCTTTTTTTAAAAAAAAAAAATCACTTAAGAGTCATACACAAATTAATCCCTAATTTCATTTTAACTTTAATCCTTCTAAGTTAAATAAACTAAAGGATCATCTTTTGCATTTAGGTTATTACCTTTGTCCTACGCTTGAATGTGCAGCCGGAGTGTGAATGATGTAACTTTGACACTTGATTTTCTCCCTTTAATGACACTTTCAGATATTCAACTTTAATAGCATCGTGACCATGTAGTACGTTAAAATTTACAGTGGATTCCACGAAATTAGTCAATTAAAAATGTATATCTAATATTATTAAATCAAAAAATTAAATTAATTTTTTATATTCCAATAATATTACTTTTAACACAATCCTCGAATACACATAATTCTTCACAAATTATAAGCATCCGTGAAAGTCGAATTTTATACAAGTAATGGTACCCAAACTAAGAAGGTACACAAAATTACAGGTTGTACCTTATTCAACAACAAAACCAAGCGGTGAAGGTTGAGTGGAGGCCACCATTAAAGCAAAAACATAAGAATTCTGAATTCATGGAAGATTTCAAGATGTCCATGCATGAAAAAAATGTGTACAATAGTCAAAGTTGTTTACTACTTAAATCCTACGACCAACACCACTTGTCTCACATACATCACCCCCTAACTTCATTTATGCCATCCCCAATCTCTTCCCATATTTAATCCCAACCATCCCCACCACCGCCTCTTCCACCTCTTCTACCACCACCTCTTCTTCTACCACTTCTGCCGCCGCCTCTTCTTCTACCACTTCCGCTACCACCATCACCATTTCGAAACTTGCGTTTACTCTGGACAATCTCCAAATGGGAGCCTTGATTCAAACTTTGTTGTACAGTCTCCTACTACCCTCATTGCCGAATTCAAGCCACTTAACCCCGAAGAATTTCACGAAAAAGTCCATCAAATGGTGGATTTTATCACCTATTACTACAAGAACATTGAGAATTACCTAGTTCTTAGTCAAGTTGAACCTGGTTATCTCCGAGCCCGCCTCCCCGAATCGACCGAAACCATTTGAAAATATTCTTAGAGATGTCCAGAAAGATAAAGTCCCCGGCATGAACCACTGGCTAAGCCCCAACTTCTTTGCATTCTTTTCGGCCACTGTGATCTCGGTGGCTTTCCTCGGAGAGATGTTATGTACTTGTTTCAACTTAGTGGGCTTCAACTGGCTTGCCTCGTCGGAGTCTACCGAGCTCGAAATGGTTGTGATTGATTGGTTGGGCAACAAGCTCAAGCTTCCAAGTTCCTTCATGTTTTCAGGCACTAGTGGTGGTGTTCTCCAAGGCACCACCAGTGAATCAATCCTCTGCACCCTCATTGCTGCCAGAGATCAGGCACTCAGGATCGTCGGAGTTCATAACATCAGAAAGCTCATCGTCTACGGCTCCGATCAGACTCATTCTACGTTCACGAAGGCTTGGAAGTTAGCTGGTACATTTCCATGCAACATCAGGTCAGTCCCCACAACAGTTGATACTGATTTTTCTCTCTCCCCGGTAGTCGTCGGGAGGGTTATAGAGGCTGACGTGTCAGATGGGTTGGTCCCACTTTACCTTTGGGGACCCCGTCAACGACTGTCGTTCATCATTTGACTCAAATTGGAAACCTTGCAAACGATTATGGGGTGAGGCTTCACGTAGACGCAGCTTATGGAGGCAACGCAGGTATATATCCGAGTTTCGGGACCATTTGGATGATATTTGTGTGCAGTGATTTTCGCACAATAAATAAAAAGACAGTTCTCTCCCTTAGTAAACTCGTGTTTACCTCAAAAGTCGACGATCCCATGACAAAGAGAGACCAAATATGTCTAAGGAGTGGTGATGAATTAGTTTTCCAACTGTTCGATTGATTTTGGCTAGCCAAAGGCGCTCCTTAACACTCAAAAGAAGAGTTAGAAAGGTGCAGTAGTGTTTTTTGGTGTATCCTCTTGGACGATCAAGTCAGTTTCTGTGAGAGACAGAAATGAAAAGTACTGTGTATGTTCTGAGAATTGGATTTACATACCTTTGTTTTCAATTTTTTTGTAACTATTTATACTTTTATAAGGTCATCATTATTGACAGCTGGGTCATGTCACGAGGAGGTCTCCCATTGATCCATTTGAGAGGCAGTAAGTAGTGTGCAGTCATTGGACTGAACACCTCTTAGTTTGCGTGGGGGAGGCTCTGTTATGAATTGCTCGAGTTCCCGAACATTTAACGCTCTTCCTTCTAAGCACATGCATTAAATGCTCGAGCTCCCGAACATTTAATGTTCTTTCTTCTACGCTTCCCAAGCCATCATGGACGTCCCATCTCTAGAAAATTATTAAATGCCTTTCCAGAATAAAGGCACGTCAGCAAGGACCTTTTGGTCCATTGACACTCAATTCTGCATTTTATGCCACATATTCCATTTCCTTTGGCTGCTAGTCTTGTCCTTTCCCTCATTCTAACTCCTTTGAGAAAGCAAATTAATGATGAATAGACAGCTACGATCTCAAGTGATGAAAGTTGTCAGTTACCCTCCCACGTCTCGATAATTTGGATCCGAGTAAACATGTCGTGGCATGCGAAATGGAGATGTCATTAGTGTCGACGACACGTGGCAGCATCTTAGCCCCTAGTGACTCTTGGTACCGAGGACACGTGGCAACATCCCAACTCCTGTTGACTCTAGGTGTCGAGGACACGTGGCATCAACCCTGCTCTTGGCGATCCTTGGTGCCAAGGACACGTGGTGGCATCCCAACTCCTGTTGCCTCTCGGTGTGGAGGACATGTGGTAGCAGCCCCGCTCTTGGTGATCCTTCGTGTCGAGGATATGTGGCAACATTCCAGCTCCTGGTGACCCTCGGTGCAGAGGATATGTGGTAACACCCCAACTCCTGGTGACTGTTGGTGCCGAGAACACGTGTCAGTCCATGGTTGAATCTCAGAAGTGTCCATCAGTATTGAATGAGCTGACTCACTGAGTTTGAGTCCCCACAAGTGGTTGCTTAGTTACTTGGACTGTTGTAACTTGTGGATCAAGCAACCAAATTTGCTGGTGAAATCATTGAGTACGAATTTGAAGTACTTGAGAAACAAACCCAGTGAGTCTGACTCGGTGGTGGATTATAAGGATTGGTAGGTGGGTTCGGGTCGTAGATTTAGAGCACTCTGATTGTGGCTCGTACTACGTAGCTATGGTATTGCGAATCTCTAGACCCACATTAGTTCTAATGTCCAAATGGCCAAGATGTTTGAAGGCTTAGTGAAATCCGACACATGGTTCGAGATTTGTGCGCCACTGCCACGACTCTTCTCACTAGTATGCTTCTGGTTGAATCCGTATCCCAAATCTGACTCATGTTATATTGAGTTGTTGAATCAGAAACTACTCGAGTGGGTCAACTCAATCGGTTGAGTCTACATGACTCTCACTAGCCTGTCAAAATTTAATACGAAACGAATTAAGCGGAATTAAGTGAGATTTTAACAGATTTGGATGATAAACGGGTTGACCTGTCAGACACATTTAATAAACAGATCATTTTCGGATGAGACCTGTCAAACCGTTTATCACACGTTTAACCGTTTAAATAAAATTAATATAATAATAAATTAATAATTATTTTAAAAAAATAGCCATAAAAAAAGAAGTAAAAAATTCAATACAAAAAAAAAAAGTAAAGTAGTAGTTCAAAGATAAATGATGAGAGATGGAGAGATGAGGAACAATTCAAAGATAAAGGCAAACCAATGCCTTTTGTTTTTGTCCCACATCGACAAATAAGAAGATATGAAGATGATTGATTTACCTATAAAAAGTAGTGACCTCTGTTCTTTTTTTTTTTTTAAGCCTTCAAGTTTAATTTTTATGTGAGATTTGATTACACATTTCTCTCTTTTGAGGTAAATACAACTGGTAGTAAAAAAATTAAGTGAAAAAGAGAATATTAAAATTTATTAATATAATTTTGTTTAAATTAAACAAATTAAATGAGTTATATCTTGTTACCTTTTTATTAAACGCATCATATTCATGTTGAAAATTTTTACCCGTCACTTATTTAACCTGATTCGTCTGATACCCTTACTCACACCATAGTCAGTGGGATCTACGTGCTGAGGTTTGCAGTGGGGGCCACACTCAATGAAGAGCATCACGTAATAGCCACTTGGAAGTTAATCAAACAATCAACTGAGGCTGTCCTGAATAAAAAATATTGAGTAATTTTATAAAATTTAAATAAAATTTAAAAAATAATCACTCAAATGTATACCATATCTTACATAAGTAGGTCTTATTAATTTTTTTAGTAGGACTCACTCATCTATCGGTCATCTAAGATATGATATATATTTAAATTGTATTTTTTGAGTTTTATTTGAATTATCTAGTATTTTTTAAAAATATTATGTTCAAAGTTAAATATAGGGACGGACTTGTTGGATTTATAATAAATTTTATTTAATATTATGGTCAACTACCGATCAAAAGACTCTTATGTACTAGATACTTACATTAAATTTTCAAATTTCTTAAAAGTGAAATTTTTTCTTAAAGCTAAGTTTGACAATATTGTTGTTGAATTGTTTGATAAATGCCACGCAAAACCGTAAAGAGTTGACCTAAGTGATAAAATGGACGAATTATAAATTTAGACGTCTTAAGTTTGATTCTTGATAACTCTTCGGGGTCAATGCACGAAAAATTTATTTTTCATGAATACTTTAATTTTAGCGTAAATTGTCTCTCTTTGACTAAACCAATAATAAAATTAATCGAGATGCACATAAGATAATTCGAACATCCTTTACCATTTAAAATTTCTATGTGATTTATGAACTTTCCAAGTATCTTAATGGTAGTTTCCAGACGACATTGGACAAATTTTATTTTTCCGTTGATTTCATTGTACTCGATACTCACCCCGTTGCTAATTCTATTTCAGATTCTTGTCATGTTATGCAAACCTTTTTTACAACTTCTAATGTCGTGATCAATTACAGGAATGATCTAATAAAACTTGCATTTGGAAACGTGCCTTTGCAAGCAACCGGATACACTCCAACTCCAACTCTTCTCTACCTAATAAGCATGAAAACTAGCATTGCAACTTTCTGATAAGCCTGATAAGATCTATTTGTTTTATTTGTAATCTAGTTATCTCAAACTTCATGATAAGGTCATTTGAAAACTAATCTTCTTTTGTATCAACATATATACTACAGAGATGTAACGTTTTGATTATGAAAAATACATAAAAAGCTTTCTTATATTCTTTCATGGTATCAGAGCCATTTAAGCCAACAGCTCATCACTGATTCTTGCACCTCTTCAATGGCTCTCTCAAATGATACTGCTTCCGCACTTGCCTTCATTGCCCCCAATATTGGGCAGCTCATTTCAGTTAAGCTTGATAGAGAAAACTATCTCCAATGGATTTCCCAATTCATTCATGTGTTAAAGTCTAATGATCTGATGGGTTTCGTGGATGGCTCTGAACCGTGCCCAGATCATTATCTCCCTGTTGAGAATGGCCAAACCATTGGTAATGTCAATCCTCAGTATCTTGTATGGAATAAGAAAGATCAATTTGTTCTTTCATGGATCAATGCAACACTAACTCCAAAAGTTCTGTCAACCGTCTATGGACTTACCACTGTCAAACAAGTTTGGTCATCACTTTCCACAAGATTTGCTTCCCAATTACGTTCTAGAATCAATCTTGTACAACGTCAATTACATAGTTTGCGTCAAGAGAATCGTACCTGTTTTGAATATTTGGCACTTGCAAAAAATCTTGTCGACCAACTTGCATTTGCTGGAAAGAATTTTGATGAAGATGATCTTGTGTCAACTCTGTTGAGTGGCTTGAATTCATCATTTATTCCATTCCAGAACTCCATTAATATTGCCACTCGAGACAGGAGTATATTGTTTGAGGATTTTTAGGCTGAGTTAATTTCCTTTGAGATACTTCTTGAATCTCATCAACGAACTATTGCACCAGAAAGCTCTTTTGCTTTATTTTCTAAGCAATCAACTCATCAATTTCAGCGCAATCAAGCCAAGCCAAAGACTTCCTATAAGACTTCTTCCTCACCAGCAAGTCCTGCTTCTTCTCAGCCTCTAACCCACCAAGCACAAACACCCACTGGAACACATGAAAGCTATCAAATCTGTGGGAAACTTAATCACAAGGCATTGGACTGCTATCATCGATTTGATTTTGCCTACCAAGGTCGCCATCCTCCTCAAACACTTACTGCAATGGTAGCTCAAGGTAATACAACATTGATGGCCAAAATGACCGGTGTTAATGGTGGAGAAACATGGTATGCAGATA